CGCTCCCGCCACCCGCGCACGCGCCTGCTCCCACTGGCACAGCCCGCGTTCGATCCCGCTCTCGTGCCCGCTCTCGCCGCCCACGCCTGATCTCGCAATCGCTCCCGCACCCGTTGCCGGCCTCCCACAAACGCGACCCGAGCTACTCGACGAGCCAATGAGTCAATCAGCCCAGTGTCCGAGCTCGAGCTCGTTTAGCGTTCGAGCTCGAACTCGTGTTTGAGCTCGACTCCCGAGCTCGATAAGCTCGGCTCGTCGAGCCCATTAACGAGTCGAGTCCGAGCCGGCTCGTGAGCCTGCTTGACTCGTTTGCACCCCTACTCCAGACCCAAGATTGAATATGAATCCACTTGTGCTCTTCCTATCTTCTATGAAACTGATTTGTACCAAATCCCATAATTGATTGTCTCCTGAATGTAACTAAGAATGAGTTTAGCTACTCCAAGATGATGTACAGAAGGATTATTCGTGAATCTTGAAATTAGATTGCCTGAGTATATAATATCAGGCCTGATATGTGTCAAATACATAAGACCACCCACAATTCCTCTAAATACTTTCTAATTGGCTTTAGATATACGTACCATCATTTTTAACTAACTTTTCATTTGTATTCATGGGTGTTGAAAAAGTCTTGCAAGTCAGCATATTATACTTCTTTAGTAACTCCAATACATATCTTTTTTAGTTATAAAAATTTCATCATCTGCTTAAATAATTTTTAAGACAAAAAAATAGTGCAGCAACCTCAAATCAATCATATCAAATTATTTCATCATATTAGTTTTAAACTTTTCAATCAACACATTAGAATATCCATAATACATAATATCATCAACATAAACACAGACAATAAGCAAAAAATTATTTTTAGCCAAAACATACAAAGTAGGCTCACTTTCACTTCTATGATATCGATCCCTTCTTTTGAAAGTATGAATCAAGCCTCCAATAATATGTCATTGGTGCCTGTTTAAGCCCATAAAGTACCTTCTTCAGTTTGTAAACTTTCTCCTCTTTGCCTTTAATAATGAAACCTTATGGTTGATCAATGTAGATATCTTCTTCCAAATCGCCATTTAAAAATATAAATTTAACATCAAGTTAAAAAATTTTCCACTTTATTTGTGCAGCTAACCCAAGCAGTAGTCTAACAATTTCAAATCTAGCAATAGGAGAAATTTTTTTATCAAAAATTAATAGCATATTTTTATGCATAGCCTTTGACAACAAGCCTTGCTTTGTATTTTTTATGCTTCCATCTAAATTGTACTTCACTTTATAAATTCACTTCACACAAATTGGATCTTTTTCTTGTGGCACATCAACAAGCTCCCAAGTATTATTCTTCTCAACACTCTAAATCTCCTCTTTCATGGCATTTTCTCATTATTTTTTTCCACAAGCATCTTCATAACATAATGGCTCTGTAACCATAAGTGCAAATATACAATCATACAACTCGTATAAAGATCTCATCTTTCTATGATGCCTCTCTTCAGATGTGCTTGAATCTACTGATCTTAGACTTGAAATAGATGAATTAGATGGCAAGCCATGACTAACTTCTTGATTGTTATGATATCAATTTGATAATTCTTCTCAAATTCAACTATTGCTTTTCATTTATCATGAATTACATATTCACTCTAATCCCACATACCATCTTCATCAAAAATAACATCTCTACTAATAATGATCTTCTCAGATTATAGATCAAATAATCTGTATGCATGATTGAATGTTGTAGCTAATGAATATCAACTTTTTAGATTTGCTATCCAACTTTCTTCTATTGTGATCATCCTCCAATACATAGGCAATACTTCCAAATACTTTCAAATTACTGACAATAGGCATTCTACCATTACGTGTTTCATAAGGTGTGATATTTTGAACAGCTTTTGTTGGAGGAGTATTCAAAATATAAATAGCAGTTGCAACAGCTTCAGCCTAAAATGTATTTGATAAATTCTTCATATTCAACATACTTCTTGCTATTACAGTATTATTCTTTCTTTCCATGCACGACCCTATTTTGTTGCGGTGTATTAGGAGCAGTTAATTGTTTAAAGATTCCATACTTATCACAAAATTTGCAGAACTCATTTCATGTAAAATCTTCACCTTTATCTCTGTATAGAATTTTAATATTCATGTCACTTTGATTCTCCACCAATGCTTTAAAATGTAAAAATTTTTCAAGGCTTCTGATTTATGATTCAAAAAATACACTTAATTCATTCTGTTATAGTCATCAACAAATAAAAAAAATATTTACACCTTCTATGAGATGATGTATTCATTGGGTCACATAAATATGCATGAATTAACTCCAAATTTAAATATCTTTTTATTCTCCATGATTTTTCATATAAAAAAAGCTTTCTAACTTGATTTCTCATAATATAAGCTTCACACAAATTCCACCATAGTCCACTTTAGACAAACCATAAATCATCTTTTTTTATACAATAATTTCAAACCTCCCATATATAAATGACGATATCTAAAATGACATGATTCTACATCAGATATCTTCTTAGCTATTAATATTTTTTCTTGAACTATTAAAATATTGAGTGAAAAAATTTTATTTGGAGCCATCTGAATTCTTGTAATTTGTTGCTTACTTTTTTTGTCTTCAATTTTAATTACAAGCATTTTTATCAAATTCAATTTTATATCCACTATCAATCACTACAGGAAAATCTCTTCTTTCCGGCGGATTTTTCGGTGGAATATTTGATAGTTTCCGGCAGATTTTTAAAGTTTCCAACGGATTTCCGGCGAAATTTTGTTCGTCGGAAAATCGAGTGTCGGAAACTTTTTCCATCGTAACAAATCCGGCGGAATGTTTTTTCGGCGGAAAAAAATCCGCCGGAAACAAATTTAAAAAAAAATGTTATGCGGGACAAACTCGCGCCCGTCCGAGCTCCGAACCCCGCCGCCCGTCGCTTCGAACCCCGCCTGCGCGTGCGCGCAACCAGCAAGCGAACTCCTCTCCCGCCGCCGCCCCGCCAGCGCGCATTATATTAAAATTGATTATAATAATTTTTCAAATTTATTTATTTTCATAAAATTTTAAATCCGCCGGAAACTCTGCCGGAAAAAATCCGCCGGAAAATTCGTCGGAAATTCTGTCGAAAAAATTAGTCGGAAAAATTTGACCTTTATCCGTCGGAAATGCGCAGGAAAAACCGCCGGAACTCCAACTGAAAATTCACTGGTAATGGGCAGTTTTCCTGTAGTGAATTAATTGCTCAATGCTTAGCCATTTATGTGCAAGTTTTGTAACATACAAAATATCATATAATAGCTTTATCTTGCCATCATTTGTCTCTACATCAATGCTCTCCTTGCATTCAACTTGAACAGTATTATTATTACCAAATTTGACTTTTGATTTCTTTGACATATCAATCTCTTTGAAAATATACTTCATTCCAGTCATGTGATTAGAACATCCACTATTAAGGAATCAAATTTCTGAATTATCACAAGCACGTTGAAAATGTTTCATAAACAGATTAGTTTGATCTATTATTTTCTCTGCAACATTGGCTTGTTTTTATTTGGACCAGCATCTATCTTCTGAATGTCCAAACTTCTTACAAAAATCACATTGCACTTTATCTTTGACTTCTTGATTCCTTTGTTTATTCCAACAATTTGTCTCAATATGATCAAACTTCTTACAATAATAGTATTGCTTTTGACCTCCACTTGATCTTTTATCTCCATAATATCCTCTTCCACGAAAAGCACCACAACCACCTCTTCCTCTATAAGCACTTTCTGCTCCTCTACCACGATCTCCTTTTTTTGTTGCCGCTAGTCGAAAAGTTTTCTTCACTTGAAATGCCTTTTCAACTGTCTTCAATTCTCTTCTGTTTATTCTCTCCTCATGAGACATCAATGAACTCATCATTTCAGCAAAAGAATACTCAACAAGATATCTGGATTCTTCAATAGAAGACACTACATGTTCAAAAACTGTTGGAAGACTCTTTAGAACTTTGGAGACTACCTTCTCATCAAATATTTGCTCTCCAAATGTTTGCATTTTGTTCACAAATTTTGATACCTGATAAGTTTGAACACCTCTTTCATCATATTCATAGTTTCAAAATCACGTCACAAAGATTGTAACTTTACTGTCTTTACTCTTATTGAACCTTGAAATTCTTTCGCCAACATATCCCAAGCTTCCTTTGATGTCTCTGCCATAGAAATTCTTGAAAATACACTATCATCCATAGCTTGTTGAATGAAAAAATAAAGCCTTTGAATCATTCTTCTTGTTATCATTATTTCTCCAATTTGCACACCATTCACCACAAGATCCTATAAATCTTGTGACTTAAACAAAGTCTTCATTTTGATACTCCAAAACTCATACTTCTCACCATTGAAGATGGGAATCAAAGATTGAGAAGTAGTGCTTGTTGCCATGAAAAATTTCTCAAAATACTTGAATGAGAATCACACACCTTGTTTTTGAAAGAATACACAAAATTTTCTAAAACTTTACTTCAATTCAGAAATTCGATGCCCACTTCAATCGAAATCAGACTCTAGTACCACAATGTTAGAGAAATTCGAGAAAATGGAAAGAAAAAAGAAAGAAAACAAAAACAAATGCTTAACATAATAGAGGATAAAGAGAACGACTACGGTTTTTTTCCTTACAACAATTATCACAAAACAAAACAGCAGTTTTAAATGAAACTAAAATAGGGCAAACTAACACTCAGGAAGCACTATTTCACTAACACCGTTTGGATTTAATAAAACATATAATAAACTAATTTTGAAACAGTACGTACGTACACATGCATGTCATGGCCAGACTCTACGACGAATTGAAATTGGGACCCTAAACAAATGTACAGATGGGCAACACCACACTACGTACACAATACATCTAGCCAAAAACAATTTTCCTAAGGTAATTACTTGATGTCCATCCCCATTCTCCACTCCTCGATCATTTCCTCTCTCTGTAACTTTCTGTCTTTATAATGGAATGAGATCGATCGTCCAAGTTCAATTTATAATTTCATCTATCGATCCTCTCTTAAGTATTTAATTTTTCTCTCCAACAACTCCGGCCGGTGTACGTACGTAGCTGGCCAGAAGATTTGGAGGAAGCGAATTATTTTGACTAACTAGCTAGCATGGAAGGTAGGTAGAACAAATTAATGAATTAGATATATATATCTATATATGGTTGAGCTAGCTAGCGAGATAATGCTTGATTAAATGGCGCGCAGCAGCTTCCAATGCGGCCGTCATCGGCGGCGGTGGCGGCGGCGAACATTTGCTGGCCTCCATCTTGTTTCGTATTTTTGGGAGGGGTAAAAGGTATTATGGCGAAAAGGAGGTGGTGATGAAGGTTGTGCAGTGGATTCGTTCGGCGTGCTTTGTGGTGAGGGAGTGGGCATTGGTGCCGGGGCTGCGCGTTTTGGTGGTGGCGTGTCTGATTATGTCTGTTATAATGGTTTTGGACAAGATTTTTATGGCCACCGTCAGCCTCTTCGTAAGGCTCGCCCGCCGGAGCCCATCGAAAGTGTACCGCTGGGAGCCATTTGCCGACCAGGTCGACGAGGAGATGCAGCAGGAATCCATCGATAGCTATCCAATGGTCCTCATCCAGATTCCCCTCTTCAACGAGCGACAGGTGGGTGGACCCTTATTACTTTCCATCTCTCTTTCTCTCTCTTTCTCTCAAAACAAAGTACTGAGGCAATAATATTATTTATTATTTTGCCACTTATGGCTTGGGCCGGACAATTAATAAAAGATAAAACAGTAAGTATATTAATTTAATTTAAAATGTTATATCTAATTATGCTCAGGCTTTTGGGCTCAGGCTTCGGCCACACATTTATATCTGAAAGGGAATAAATAAAGCTATAAATATATTGATGATATTCAGGTTTATCATGTGGCCATTCGTGCGGCGTGCAACTTTTCTTGGCCATCCGATCGTCTTGTCATTCAAGTGCTGGATGATTCAACCGATCTCGTCGTCAGGGTTTGACAGCTAACTTTTTTTTTTTTTGCTGAAATATTACTTAATTATGCACGTGACATTATCAAATAAATAAAGTTAAAAAAATGTGTCTGATCAGCTTATTATTATAGAAGGGAAATATATTTATTTTTTGCTAATTTTTTGTCCAATTAAATGCTTAATTAAGAAACTTTTATAACTATTAGATGAACAAATTAATTCAATCATACCGTAAATAATTCTATTAACTTTCTTAATTAGACTATATGCATTTAAGATATTATGTATGGTTGCCAAAATTTTGAGATCAAATTTGGAATATATAAATTTAATGTGTTTAATTAATTTGAAAATAAAAATTTTCATCTCCTTTAAGAAAATAATATAAATATGCTAATTACAAGAGTAGTGTAAGTTCTGAATGAGGCTTCAACTAGTTACAAGTTCCATCAGTACTTAGTAGCAATTTCAGTACGTTAATTGGCCACGTAAATATGCATGAAATATTAATTAATCGTCGTTGCAGAATATTAATTAGTTATCTTTAAATATTAAGGAATCGTAGCTGCATAAAGCATTTTATCAGTCAATTACAGTGCATCGATCATGTTTGTTGTTGCTTTTTGCATGTAAGGAATTGGTGAAGGAGGAATGTGAGAAATGGATAAGAAAGGGGATTAACATAAATCTAGAGACGAGAGATAATAGAAAGGGTTACAAGGCTGGTGCTCTCAAGGATGGGCTGACATGCAGCTATGTACAAAAATGTGAATATTTAGCCATATTTGATGCTGATCATCAACCAGCTCCTGATTATCTCAAACAAGCAATTCCTTTCCTCATACACAACCCTAAAATTGGTCTTGTTCAAGCTCGTTGGAAGTTTGGTAATTCTAAAATTTTGATTAAATTTCTCCTCTAGCTCAATGTGTGTGCGCGCTCCATTTTTATTTCTAAATTCGATTTTGGTTATTGAATGATGATGCTATACAGCCAATGCTGATGAGTGCCTGATGACAAGAATTCAAGAGATGTCAATGGATTACCATTTCAAAGTGGAACAAGAAGCAGGGTCATCAACCTTTGCATTTTTTGGCTTCAATGGTAATTTTTTTGTTATTTTGTTTATCCAATTTATTATTATTATTATTATCATAAAAACATGCATTACGTTGTAAAATCTTAACCTAAAGTTAATTAATTATGTGTTCATTTTACCAGTTATTTATATCAAATCTTTAACAAAAAATGGACAGAAGCGTAAGCGAATGTATTGAAATATAAATTTTGAGGTTTTTATTCTTCTAGATTTGAAATAGCATTCATTTTTACTCGGAGATGTCATATGAGCAAGTGAGAGAAAAACTATTTATTTGACCATGGAAAGTACTACATGTTGAAAATTAAATTTATATATGGTGCCCAAAGGTCATGCATGTCGTATCATCAAGAAGAAAGCAAGCATTGAATCTATTAAAATACAGATATGGAATTAAAACTTCATTCTAAAAATAGATAATTGTTTTCACTCAGGCATAAAAATATGTGATCAAAAAGAGAATTCAATGCTTAGATTGGAGATCATGACCTTTTACAAGGGATTGGATCATCTTTTAATCGCATATAAAACTCATATTCTTAAAGATATATGGATGATTTAAGCATCCAAAATTGTCATTCTCTCCTCTTTAATTAGAGGATCTTCTTTATGGCATTTCAAATTGAGGCTTTAGTGTTTTTTTGTATGAGTATGAGGCAACTCAGAAGCATCTTCATTATCTAAATTTACCAGTACTTGAATAATATGAGACATAATTAGATGATTAAATATATTGAGTTGCAACTATATATAAGAATAGAAATATATTTTTCTTTAAAGAAAAAATTCCTAAATTTATCACTTTTATCATTTTCTAACTCAGCATTGCCCACCTTGTAAAAAGACATTCTTAAGGAATTACAAAACTTGCTGATCTTGACTTTTTTAGTCCGCAATAACATAGTAGCTAATATATATAGTTTTTCAGTCAAAATTTTTATTAGGCTTATTTAACCTAACCTCAATTAAATCGATATCCCTAGACATGAAAATGTGTAACACCAAACTTCTTTTCAGCTTAATTACAACACCTATATATGCGGTGTTGGCTATTATTTCTCTTGATGCTCTGTTAAGACTATATAATGTAATCTTTATTATAACTTCTCAAAAAAAATTTACTGAAGAAGAATGTTTTAACATACTTTTAATTATATTTTTTAGGGTCCAATTTTATCTCCCGGCCAAAAAATTTTGGCTTGTAGTCCCTCACATCATTAATTTGTAAGGTCAAAATTTTTAATTTATATTAATTACAAAAAAAAAATTCTATTTTCAGCTGAATACGGATAATCAAAATTTTCCAAATAAGAAATAAAAGTCAAATTTAATATAAATTTTGATTAATAAAAAAAATCTCACATAGATCTAAAAAATAATGAGATGAAACTTTAGATATATATATTGCCTCAATAGGAGTTTTATTACCACTTGACTAACCACACTTATGTTATGTATCCACTAAATGCATGTGGCTTAATATTATGGAAGAATTACTTTATAAGAAATAAAGTTGAAAATTTACCCAATTTGACAAGCAAATTAGAATACTTAAAAATAATTCTTTGTCACATGACTAACTTTATTACAAACAAAAGTTAAAATATTATCCTACTTTATTTTCTAGGGTGTGAAATTCTTTTATCTAATTTTTTTTTTCTTTATAATTCATTTTTTCTTTCATTATCATGTCATGAGAAAAAAAAATGAGCACTTCCTATCTTCTCTTATTTCAATAAATTTATAATACCTGAAATTTTGTCAAAAAGGTAAGCATAAAATATCTCATTCTCTAATACGCTCCATATTGATTGTAGGGAGGCTAGGGTCAAAATGGGCATAACACAATTACTCTCACACATGTTAAGCAATGAGCTTATTATTTTTTTATTTTAATCATTATAACTTTATTATATTAAAAATATTGAATAATATGATAAGAGTGGTCATGACTTAAGTACACAAAAATATCATCAGACAACTCTTATAAACATTATATCCATTATGGTATTTAAAATAGAGTGCTTTATGAGCATATGACTTAATTATGTGATTATAATGTTCTCATTTTTTAATGATAATCATTTGTTCCTTAGTACTTTACATATTTAAGATGGAAGAATATTCAGTCTATATCATACTGTCAGGATCCATACACCTAATAACAATAGTGATGTTTTATTTCTATTAATAGTATAAGTTATGCCCTCAAAAAGTATCTAGAACGACATTGAAATTTAATCTTTGAGTGTAGTAAATAGTAATTCTAACCAATTCTCATAAAAATATAATTAAGAAATATTGAAAATGAATCCTACCAATAATATGTGTCTCATTTTGAATTGATTTATTTATGAATAAAAAGCATATATAAAAGAAAATTATCACATATTTATTACTGCTTGTGTCTATAATTTGATAAAAAAAAAAAGTTTTATTGGTCCTATTATTTTCCACATAAATTTATATAAAACTGAAATAAAATTCAAATATTTTTAAAAACTAAATAAAATAGAGGTTATTTAGGTGGCACATTATTTAAATTTAAATTATTTTAAAATAATGAGTAATAATTAAAAAAAAAAACATTTAATTGATAATATCAATGCAACATAGTGTTAAATTTCAGTATATTTTGTTGTCAAGTTAACTGCATAACGATCATTGGAATTTTCATAATATTATTTTCTAAAGCAATTTTAACTATATTTACCTAATGGAGAGCTTATATGAAGCGATATTATTTTCAAATCTGATAAAATATAGGAACGACTGGAATATGTTTTAATTTTTTGTGAGCTATTTAATTTCTTATGAGGAAATTCTAAAAAGAAAAATTGTCGAAGGATTTTGCCTAATGTTTCATTATATAGATAAGAAGTTGTGGTTCATTCTTCTCATAATTTATTTTCTTTGATGAACCATTACATACATTCAAATCCGGTAAATTATAGGCACTGCGGGAATATGGCGGATCATTGCAGTAAAGGAAGCTGGCGGTTGGAATGAAAGAACTACTGTAGAGGACATGGATTTAGCTGTAAGAGCAAGCCTTAAAGGCTGGAAATTTGTCTATGTTGGTGACATTAAGGTATTTCATGAATCTTCTTCGCCTCTACCATCATAATACCAACAAACTATATACCCATATAACGCAGTGTAAGCAGTGATCGAGGTGTTTCTAGCTAGCTCCCTTCTTAATTAATTCATGTGAACTAATATAGTAATTAAGCCATTGCTTTGTTGGATGGATATATTGGTAGGTCAAAAGTGAACTACCATGCACCTTCAAGGCCTATCGATATCAGCAACATCGTTGGGCTTGCGGACCAGCAAATTTATTCAGGCATATGTTCTTAGAGATCATCAAAGCTAAAGTAATTGTTTTTCAAATTAATACATATGATTAATTATTTTTTTCAAATTGATTTCGATCTCATTTATATATTTAAAATATTAATGTTGATTAAATTGCAGGATGTGACGATATGGAAGAAATTCTATTTGATATACAGCTTCTTCTTTGCTCGGAAGATCGTAGCTCATAATGTCACATTCATATTCTACAGTTTGGTGATTCCAATTTCCATCTTTTTCCCTCAAGTAGAGATTCCGAGGTGGGGGGTGGCCTACATCCCAGCCCTTATTACCATCCTCAGCTCTGTAGCAACTCCTAGGTTTGGCTTCATCTATTAATTATTCCCATATATAGGAGATACGTACGTATGCAGTAAAAGAAGAGAGTGAAAGCTAATGTAGATCGAATCTCTCAAGTTTGTTTGTTTGTTTGTTTTTTTTTTTATTTATTGAGATGAATTCCAAATTAATTTTTTGGCTTTTTACTAATAATAATTAACTTTGTACGTCTTTGAATTAATATATTAACAGCTCAATTCATCTGGCTTTGTTCTGGATCCTGTTCGAGCAAGTCATGTCCTTCCATCGATTCAAAGCTGTGCACGTCGGATTGTTCGAAGGAGAAAGAGTGAACGAATGGGTTGTTACCGAGAAGTTTGGTAGCAAAAATAAACCAAATAATGCTAAATGTGGAGCTGATCAGAAGAAGCCGCAAAGCAAGTTATGGGAGAGGTAGATATATTTATAAATATGTGCACCATACATTTAACGAAGGGGATCACATATATGCATATTTTATCTGCATGCATTTAAAATATTGTTTTGTATTTTAATTATATACTTGCAGATTAAATGTGACGGAGCTTCTGTTGGGTTTATTTCTCCTCATGTGTGCATCGTATGATTTGGCCTACCGAGTAAAAAACTACTTCATCTACATATTTCCTCAGTCGCTTTCATTCTTCGTCATCGGCTTTGGATACGTTGGAAAATTCATCCCAAGCAACGTCTGATCAACCATCGGCCTTGTACTGTTTGTTAAGTAACCGGGGCCGGTGTGTTGCCATGCGGTTCATTTGAAGTATTTTAGCTGTTACTGTGATTCGAACTTTTACCCTTTTTAAGTTTTCTCAATCGTAACTTGGCTTATTTGTTGAGAATAATGCGCGCGGACCAATATAAAAATTGGAGTTCATGTCCACTACAGGTTTAATTAGTATTTTGTTTTTAAGTTGTGTTCAAGTTCGTGAGATTGATAATTCCTTGTTAATTAAAAATAAGAGGTAAATATCTGTGAGCTAACACAGCTCATCAGGTCACATATGTATCAATCTAAATTTTAAATAATTTTACTTATCAAATGTTGAACTGGATATTAAAAATGTATAGAAATTCATTATTTCAGAATATAACTAATTTTTTATAGATTGTGTAAAATAATGTTTAGAGACTTTAGTTTTTTTTATTTTATTAAAACTCATAGCGGGGCCTACGCGTTAATATAAAAGCAAATTGCAAGGTCATTGAAAGAAATCTCTAGCTCACTAATGCTCATAAGAGCTACACAAAAAAAAAGAGCCGATTGTTCCTTATACAAGCATTACAAAAATCCCTAATAACATTCTAGGGTTGCAAGGAGACAGCGCCCTGTGGACCTCCGAAAGAGCACCGCTCGTGGGGCTCGAACACAAAAGGTACAGTTGCACTATTTCGTATGACAAAACGATCACAGGCCTTTACACTCGATACGAATAGGTCAATGAAATGGCATATTAGACCGTGCATACGACTAACCATTGAGGATAGCGGCTCTCGGCAGCACATCCCAATGGATAGTAATATACATGATCTGATCAAAACGGGTTTCCCCCACCCGATACAACAGCTCGAGTAAGGTTTATTAGATATGAGATCAAGTTCCCCACGAGTGCAAGCCCCCGTGGTTAATTACATCTCAGGTCGGAGCCTGAGAAAACTCTCGATTAATTAAGGATCATACATTGTCTCTTTTTAAAATGGGATTGGCACGATGGTGTAGACTAGGAAGTCATATCCAAATGAAAAAAAGGCTCAAGTAGCTCAGTCAACATGCATGATTCACACCAGCATTCGAAGGGTTTCAGATGGTCTAGGGTACTAAAGAGAAATTATAGAAAATAAAAGTCAGGCAATCAACACATGCATGAGAGAAAAGATGGAGGTGGCGCTATCCTGTGACGCAGACCGGATGTAGTAGCCTCGAATCCTAAATTTAAGTTGGATTTAGTGTTCTATACACACTGAGACCCGTGTCCTAACTAATACAATGCAAAATATGAACTTACCCCGGCTTGGATTTGGGAGTCAGCTAATCACTTAATCGCCTTAAAACCATGTTATCAAGTCAATTATGAGAGATGGCATGGGTGGGTAGTACAGTTTTTGAAAATATGACCGACATCTAGGGAGTTTCCTAATTGATCCCGGACTTATGTTGGTAGATGCTCCTAACTAATAAAATTAAAATTTTATTTTAATTAGTTTCTAATGCAATGCATGCTAGTTGAAGATCTCAAATCATGAATGTTATATATTTTAAAAAACATGCTTATAAAAAGTAATTTTTAGAAAATATTGGGCCTCCTTAGGTCCGGCACTTCATCCTCATAGGTTAGATAATCCGGACTCTACCCGTAGGCAGGAAGGTGTCTTATTAGAAGGAGAAAGAAGAATGCAATTTTATGTATGCGACCTCGAACGATTCCAGTAATTCTTTAGATTCGTTAAGTTTCTATGTAATTTAAACTTAAAATTTTAAGTATTAATTATGAGTAAAAAAATATTTTTAGTCTTTAAAGAGCCTATCGAATATCTAGGCTAAAATAAAAGTGGCATGAAAGAAAAAAAACTAGAAAAAATAAGCAATTTCTACTACGCAAGCAAAGTAAACACATCAATATAAATCAAGTAAAAGTCCATAGGCCAACTGCCTTTTAATTATAACCCAGGGTCTACAGAAAATAAAGTAGCCGGGTACCACTGCCAATAACCCGGATTTCTAAACTTATGACAGACGCAAATGACTTTGAGTGGGATATTGGGTCTTCAAATCTTTAACTCTTCAATCTTCTTCTCATTGGACTCCTTGGAACTTTTCTCCTTGAACTCCTTAGATCTATCCTCTTTAGACTACTTGGATCTCTCATCCTTGGACTCCTTGGATCCGTCGTGACTTGAATATCTAAATGAAGAGATAATTCTTCTAAAAAGGGGGATTGTCTTTTCTCTTTGAATATCTAAAGTCATCCAGCTCGATCTTCTGAATGGAAGAAGACTCTCCCCTATGAAGATGCCTTTTTTTTTTGAAATTCGAGTTAGATAAGAATATCCCAACTCAAATTAAAGTTGCATTTTCACAACTCTTTATAATTTATTACAAATATTATATCAAATAAAAATCAGTAAACCTAAAACCACCACCAATATTATCCTAACAAAAATCTAAAACAGTTATAGTCTCAAGCAGTTTATATGGAAATAAAAATACACATTACAGCCACATTCTTGGCCATGCTCTTAATTATTGAGGGCTAATGCAGTCTGGAGCACCTATAACAGTTATTATTTAATGATTTAAATTAGTCCTCATTTATTTAGGAGGAGCTAAGCAAAGTCTGAAACACCTGTATAAGACATCATTGGAAATCATGATATTTGCTCCCCTTTTAGTGTTGTATGAGCATTGCCACATGCAAGAAGAACCATATTATATATAATATATACTATATATTATTATATATATATATATTATATATTATATATATATATTATTTATATTATATATATATTATGTCATGTTCATTCCTAAATCTAGCGATAAATTTATCGTTCATCACACATACTACCACAGAGTGCAGGAAAAGTAAGCAAAATATGTCAACTTTACAACATCATGCAATAAAAAACCACGAAAATCCTGACACATAACAGTTAAAGAAAACGCTGGCCTAGCCTAAGTCTAAAGTGGTGCCCTATCAAACAATTCTATGTATGTGTAAAGCTTGGTGGCTTTGGTAGGTCATATATAGGATAGTTAGTTAAATTACCTATAGTTCAAGTTTGTTGAGGGCTAGAAAAAAAACTTTAATTAAAGTCTAATATTGTGGATTATGGTAATTTCAGTTAATTTAGTTTGTGATCACTTATAATGCTTAGGGTAGTGATATTTGAAGTTAAAATTATATTAGTCAATTTTGGAAATGTCGAGTTACTTCTAGTCACTAAGCTGAGGGGTCCAAAGGTTACTATTGGAAATAGGTAGGTTTGACTGGAAAGTTGACTTTCTAATTTTAGGTTAGTTTCTGGAATCTTTATATTTTTAATAAATACTATATCTAATTGGAGTTGAATGCAATTGATTTGCCTAATTAAAATTTTCTACACTTAGTCATTGAATTCCTAAAAATTTGGGGGTATTTAGAGAATTATCTAATTAGGGGGGTTATATAATCCAAATCAGCTTCAAAACTGATTGGAATCACCCCCAAGGTCAGGATGACCTGAGAAATGTTCCCAAGTGTTTGGGGAAAATTTAATTTTTAATAATTTATTAGGGGCAAAAGGTAATTTTTGATTAAAGTTGAAATTAAGAGCTAGATTTTGGTCAAACTAGGGTGCGCCTATTTTCAGATAAATTAGGGTTGGTTAATTAAGGGGTCTAAAGAGCCTAAAAATTCATAGAAATTTTTGAGATGTTTATGATCTCACTAAGTTTAAATATTGAAATTTTCATGCCAATCAGGGATCTATCCTAGCTCATATCATTTTTTTAACTTTGCTAGACGGGTCCTTAGTTATTGTCCTTAGGGTGCCGCTACGTTGTAAGGGTTTAAACTGTGTTTTGAACTAACCCTTGGGATAACAATGCATGGGAATACAACAAAACATAAACACACTATGTTCTTAGATCTAGAAGATCCTAAACTAAGTGTGGTTGCATCATACAATATGCAAATTATAATAAATGAAAGTAAATGCACCTAATGAAGGGATTAATGAATGATTGAGAACTCAACACCCACTAATCCATCTCCCCCATAATTGCTCTTCACAATGCGCAACCATATTTTAAAATTTCATTAAATAGTGATCTCCCAGAATTAAGATTTAATATATAAGTAATTTTAAAATTTTTAAATACTTATAAATATATAAATTTTAGAAAAATAGGGTAATTAAAATACATCAATTTATAATAAATATATATAGGGAGATCCACTTACCACCCAAGCGAGATTTCAAAATAATTTGAAATTAATTTTTAATTTAAAATAATATACTAATAATTATTTAAACATAACAAAGTACTCCAAATAGCTAAGTAAGACAGAAATCATATCAGAACAATGAAATTAATTTTTAGAAATAATTTTAAAATAAAATACATTTTTTCTGAAAAGAACAAGAGGTCGCACGTCAAAATTCGATTTAAAACGACAAAGATATGATTTTTCAAAGTTTTAGAGTAATAAAAGGAGATTTTAAAATAACTTCAAAATAATTAATATTAAAAAATAACTAATAAATGTAATAAAGTTAAAATAATAAAAGTTTTGAAATTGAGCATTAATTATTAAAATAATAATAATAATAACTAAAATAGTTTATAGAGTAAGAAAGTAAGTTAATAATAGGAGCAATAATAATAAAATAATAAGGATTATGAAAATAATTATAATATCATAAAATTAATATCTAAAATAATAATAATATAACTAATTAAGATAATATTTAAATAGTAAAATAATAATTATTTATTATTAATGATAACAAAATAATTGTTAAAAGTAAAATTTTAATTAATAATAATATAATAATATAATTTTAAATAATGACAATATCACTAACTTCAAAATAATAATAATAATAATAATAAAAGCATAAAATAGCAAAAACAATATTAAAATAATAATAGTTATTAACTTATAATTAATAATAGTAATAATTACAATATAATAATAATTATAAAATATTAAAAATAAAAGCACTTTACTGTTTTTAAAATATTTTAAAATCTATTAAATATTTTTAATTAGAATTAATTTTAAATCGTAGAGAATTCAAATACGATCGATTCGACATATTGTGCGCGAAAAATGGATAAAATTAATTTTTTTGGCGATTTTTTAAAGTTAAAAGCGCTTAAAACACCTAAAAAAATTAAAATGCCCAAAAAGCCCTCAGGACGACACC